CTACGCCAGCTGGCCCGTTTGGACTGTCTGATTGAATTGTTGTAGTCGGTGAGTGCAGTTCTATACTGTTCCCAACTACCAGAGCGTTTTGCTCTATTGAATAAGCTTCTTACTAGTTTACGCTTATTAGCTAGTTGCGTGTTCCACCAAGGAACCTTACCTCTAATCGAAGCATTACCTGCAACCGTGCTGTTGTGAAAGGAGGTCAGTAAAACCTCACCTAAATGGTTTGCAGCCAACTCTATCTCTTCACGAGTTCTTAGTGGCCTAGCTAGAGAAAAATTTTCGGAACCCACCAAGTCCCTGTACCTAAGCCAGTTGGTTTTCCTCGGCCGGTACACTTTATCTTGCTGCTCGGATATACTGGGAATTTCAAACCTAATATGTTGATGGTCTGAGAGGGACACTTCGTCCGACACTCGCCAATTCCATATAGATTCCTCAATACCCCTAGTGCAAAGAGTGAGATCTAATACCTCTTCTCTAATTGCATTAATAAAAGTGGGTTTACTACCTTTGTTAGCTATACTTAATCCTACCGACATAATATAATCTAATAGGTACTCACCCCTTTTGTTATCATTGCTGCTCCCCCACACTGTATGGTGGGCATTAGCGTCACAGCCCAAGATTAGCTGTCGCCCAGTGGACTTGCAGAAGTTGATCAGCTGCTGGACTTCCGATGGTGGAATGGTTACTTCATCACCTGAGAAGTAGGCAGAGGCCATGACTATATCTGTGGCCCCTCCTAGTGGTGGGACTTCGACTAGAACCGCTGCTAGGTCTCTAGAAATAAAGTTTGTTAACGGAAGATATTTCACATCTCCACCGATTAGGATAGCTGCACGTGGCACTGCTATCGAACGGTCATAAACCAGCTTACCTGATTATGTGTTGAGACCCCGTATTTGGCCATCAAACACCCACGGCTCTTGGATAAATCCTAGAGCGATGTTATTGGTTTGGGCAATTCTGCACAAGGTGGCCGATGCTCCCTTAGCATGGTGCAGATTTGCCTGAAGCACTTCAAGAGCGCTCATTATGTCTCGTTAAGAGACTTACGGACGAGACTTTCACGCTTGTCTCGTCGAGAACCTTTATTCCTATCACCCTTTGATTGCTTCGGTAAAATTTTACCGATTAAAGGTGTTTTATTGATAGCGGTCCGTGGTTTACCTGCTACAGTTGCCGTGCCCGTGGAGGGCATTGTGGACTTTGTTACCGAGGTGGGAATCTGAACAGCACGCCCACTGGCAGAGCACACAGCCTTGCTTGTGGAGGGACGTGTGTCTAGTTCCTCTTCCTCAGGAACAGTCACTGTTGGGCAAACATCCGTAAGGCATGCTGCCGAAGCCGAGGATGATTGGATAGTACTATCATCCTGAACCACCTTTGGAGTATTATCTATGAGGTGAGAATGAGCGGGGGCGGTTCCCTTTAGCATCAATCTCAAGTGTCCGAACCGGTATGCAATCCTACCTTTAAGTTCGGATAACTTTCTCATAGATTCGTCATCAATGACGAAGACTAGGTGAAGCATCTGATCCTGCGTCAGCCTACGTATCACCTTCCACCGCTTGGTGGAGAATTTGTTCTGGGTACCAATGGTAGCCAGAACTTTTTCGTTTGACAGTGTCAAACTCTGAGGAAAATAGCCACGAACGACGTGAGTTCGTGGGAAATCCTTTTCCTCTACCGCGTTTATAGCGAGTCCGCGTTTGTGGCCTGAAAATTGCTTGACCCACTTCGCAGTTTTTGTATCACTGCAGACGATAAGCAGCCACCCCGTTCTAGGTAAACACCCTTCGAACTCCGGCTGTATTTCGTCGTTGTGTTGCTCAATAGCAACATCAATAATGGCTTCTTGGAGAAGCGTAATTTGCTCTGTAGAGAGCGAAGTGCCAGCCGAATCGGCCGACGTGAAGCCTAAGCGTACGCCTTTAACAGCTAGGCTGTACGATGGCTTGGTGAGCCCCACGTGAGCCACCTTGTGTTTTTTGGCGGGAAACAAACCGGGGGATTGCTCCTCCGATCTGACCCGCTTGTTCGCAGGCGGATGTTGCATAGCAATTTTAAGAGCCTCTGCCCTGCTATGGCCTGAAGACATGGCCGCCTTAAACCTTCTTCGCTCACTTCTTTTAAAGTGAGTAAATTTTGAGAATTCCAAAGTGAGGTTGCCAACTTTGGAGCCAACGACAGTTAAACTGGATTTTTGTGATACCACACTGCCGGTGTCGTAATCACCAGATTCAACGGCTTTGGAATTTGAAGACAAAACCTCAATAATTTCCTGCCGCCTTACCTGAGATCGCGACGAAGTTACTGCTGGTGCGTACACCGTTTCCGCAAGCGGAGAAGTAGACGGTGGCCCGTCCGGGTCCATTTTGACGCACACAGTAGCGCTGTCGAAATGGGTGGAGGCTTCCAGCCCAGTGGCCGGCATACACTCAGCTACAGATAATTCCGTAAAGGAATCATTTGAAGATGATGCCGTTAGAGTGACATCAAGCTCATTTGTATTATTTAATTTATCCATACAAAAATTATTTATATTGGAAGGTCACACACGACATAGCCCGTTTATCGTGAGAAGTCTAAATTCAAACTGGAGGTCGACAGGTATCCAGAGTTCGCATATTAAAGACCAACTATCCATGGCCATTCATCCCTCGGCATATGCTGTTCCACCTTGGATTTGAGCTTTGATTTAAGACGCTTTTACATGCGTCCGCCCGATTACAATTAGCCAGCACCCATAGTAGAGATGACCATACTATGAACCTGTTTCTAGCCGCCCCCGCGTAGAGGATGTAATCACACTACCGACAGTATACAACAGTTACGGCACATACACAAAGTACGTGTTTATCCCCCTGTGTATCTGACGGCTGAAGCAAGAACTTAATATAAATCACAAAGAAATAATTATACAATACATTGACAATAAAATAACAAATACATATATAGAGAAATGATATATTTTTTTGAAGGTGTTTTTATACACATGGGCATAGTGTCAGGTATATCGTATATCAGTGTTATATTTGATCCTGGCATCAGTAGCAGTTTGTAGAACATGAAGCATATCCAAAAAAAAAAAACATTTTTGTTAATTATATTCTTGATATTTTCTTGACCTTTATATTATCTTAATACGGCTTATACTTTGATTTAAGGCAATGTGAAGCCAGTGCTTTTGTGGTCTCAATATTATTCT